TCTATGGAGATAATCATATGGTTTTTGTCCTTGGCTCTATTGATATAGTGTATTACATTGATTTGCTTATGTTGAACCATCCCTGCATCCCTTGGATGAATCCCACTTGGTCAAGGTGTGTGATCTTCTTGATGATCTTCTGGATTCTATTTGCCAGTATCTTAGTAATGATTTATGGATCTATGTTCATTAGTGAGATTGGCCTATAGTTCTCTGTTTTGGTTTGGCCCTTCTCGGTTTTGGGGATCAAGGTGATGCTTGCTTCCAGGAATGAATTTGAGAGTATTTCTTCCCTTTCTATTTCACTGAAGAGTTTAAACAGTAATGGTAGTAGTTCCTTTCTAAATATTCTGTAGAATTCAACAGTGAAGCCTTCAGCACCCAGGCTTTTCTTAGTTGGTAAGTTTTTAATTAAATTTTCAATTTCATTGATTGATATTGGGTTGTTTAGAATTTTTAGGTCTTCTTTGTTCAACTTTGGTAATTCATATGTATCTAGGAATCTGTCCATTTCTTTTTTGTTTTCTATCTTATTGGCGTATAGATTCTCTAAGTAGGTATGGATGATCCTCTGGATTTCTGGTGGGTATGTTGTAATTTCATCCTTTTCACTCCTAATTGCATGGATTTGGGCCTTTTCTTTCCTTTTTCTGATAAGGTTGGCTAAGTGTTTGTCGATTTTGCTTATTCTTTCCAAGAACCAACTCTTGGCTTCATTGATTTTTTTGTATAGTTCTCTTATGGACTGTTGACTCTTTTAAATTAATTTTATTGGTACATTTTATTGGTACATTTTAGGTATACAATTCATTTACATTTATCATTAGGTGTTTGTACCTGTACATGATATATCTTCATTCTTATTTTTTTCCCCATTATCTGTGTGCCCTTCACCCCCTCCACCCTTCCCTATTCACATAAATTTCATTTCCAATTTTTTTTCTTTTCTCATAGTTTTTCCTTTCCCTCTTCGCCCCCCCCCCTTTCACTCCTTCGTCTTTGGACCTTTTTTCCTATTTCAAATTATCAATTATTCATTTTCATCATTTTAATTGTTGTTTACACTATCAGGTTCTCACACTAGAGAAACTATTCGGTATTTACACATGTATGTCCTATTTATTTCACTTAAGAGTATGGCCTCGATATGCATCCATTTAGCTATAAATGACTCTAGTTTTCTGTTCTTTATGGCTGAGTAGTACTCTATTTTATAAAAAAACCCCACATCTTCTTTATCCAGTTTCCAGTTGATGGGCACTTGGGCTGCTTCCAAGCTTTAGCTAT